GTCATAGCTGTGTCTCTCAAACTGTTATCCCTGCCACTCTGAACAACACAAATGGGATCATACTTGCAGGGGCATACTCATCTGCTGTATATCTGCTCAAAACCTTAGACACATTACACACCTCTCCTCTGTGTTACTTTCCGCTTGAAGAAAATGTTGAACTCAAGTCTTTAAAACAGTGTATGTCCTGGGACAATATTTAAAAAACAAGTTTCAGTACTGGGACTGTCACAGATATCCCTGCCTCACACTTCACTGGAAGGAGGCATTTTTAATTTCCTAATATGAAAATCAGATTACAGCAAGGTAGAAAAAGTCCCAAGCTAAACACTGTCAAGACCCTGCACTGAGATGGAGTGAGGAAAGAGAAAACCACCTGTAACAAAAGCACTGATTTTCAGTAGAGGGTGTTGTGGCACTAACAGTCAGAAAATTATATGAGCAGCACCAAAGAGACAGACAGTGATGCTGCCTATCCTATAGCTGCAGGATTAACAGCACAGACGCTCCTACAGAGAGTGGGCAGCACCCTGTTCAGCGCAGCCCAATCCCATTTGAGGAGAATAGTGAACCATCTGCACTGATACAGCTAACACTTCTGGGAAAACACCACCAGATCTGTAGAGATCTTGGTGACTCTTCATTGTCCCCCTGCACTGACACAGCCTTGCATTACTAGGCATCAATGTAACTCACTCTAATTGTCAAAATGACACGTGAAGAATGGGAAGGAGAGACTTCTGCCTCCTCAGGTTTGCTCCCTCATCTCTGCTGGGGATTCCTTTACTGCAAACACCCTGAGTATTATTGCCATTTACAGTAGCAATCACTCTGTCCCCTCCTCTCCCACAAACCTAATGCTGATATTAGCACTGATCACACTAACAATCCTTTGGGTTTTATTACTACTGATACTAATAATACTGGACACATTACGTCTGCTCCCACCAATAACAGGCTGCAGATATGATCCCTGCTAATGTCGATAATACTGGGGGATATTATCTCTGCCATTGTCGGCACTGCAGATATTATTGCCAGTAATGCTGTCAAATACTACAGATACTGTCAAGGACCAAGATTAATAATGCTGAGAATGTTACAGCATCAACCTCACTGGAAGTTGAATCCCAAATGAGAATTTAGGTTTAGATAGGAAGTCTGTTTGCAGCCTATTATGGAAAGAAAGGTCTGTGTCTCATAATGGTTTTGTAAAAATTGCTGAAGTTTCACCCAGCTGAAGATGCTGTGGTATGCTGGCAGCAGCTTGATATACTCTTGATCTGTTATCTAATTATTTATCTCTATCTATCTATCTATCTATCTATCTATCTGTCTTTCACTTTCTCTTAATTTCTTCTTTTTTTCTCCTTGTACAGTGCTCAAGACTACTATATGAGTGATACTAAGTTTTTGTCACCCCAGTTCTCATTCTTTTAGCTGTCAATTAAGGGGTTATGAAAAAGCAGAAATAGTTGCATATTTTCCCCCTTTGTCTTTCTGGATATTTTTTTGTGGCTTCTTAGTCTGGCAGTGACCCTGCTGACCATACTTGGCCTGCCATCACAGAGTACTACAACACTCAAACCGTAAAGAGCCAGGAACTCATGTTTTCTGATGCAACTTGATAGTGTAAGACCCTCACTGGTCTTGAGAAAGTCATTACATGCTGCAGGGTGACCTCTGCCTTTGGAAGAGGGTGGATGTGAGTGGTGGTGGGTGTAAGGTCAGAGGGAAGTTACAGCTCCACTGGCACTGCCCACAGACCACAAGAAATGGCACACAATGTGCTACACAAATGGTGGTGAACTTTTTAGTCAAATTATTTTCAAAATTGCAGGAGATCAACTCTATCACAGAAGTCAGAAGTTTTGCAATCACTGGTTATAAACTGAAACAAAAGTGTAATTTGGTCTTAACAAGGCAAATCCTGACCATCCCTTCTTGGCATTCACCTGAAGAAGGCATGCTGAGTTTTGAGGAAAGACTCATGGCCAGACAGTTCCTTGTTGTGACTAGTAGACACTCAGAGCTGCTTCCCAGCTAGTTCTCTCTCAATGTCATACATCACCCAGGCCACCCTTGCACTTGCAACCAGTGTATTTGGTAGGCTGGGATTCCCACTCTTCCCTCTAACTCCCTGTGGGGGACACACCTGGCTGTCAGTGTCCATCTCTGAGCCCACCTCATGCTTCCGTCTGGCTCCTTCTGTCCAACTCGGGAGTTCTGCTACATCACCTTGACACATAATTATCTCTCCTCTTAATCATCTGTGCTACTGTCTAATGTAGACACCAGCTGCAGCAAGGAGGACCTGGGGGAGGGGGTGTGCTCACATAGGAGCTTCTCTGTCTTTCTCCCACCCCGTTCCCCCCAGCCATCACAGTGGTTGCTAACAAGGTTTTCAGAACTGGTGATTCAGGAACAGCTCGGTACTTCCCCTTTCTGCTGAACTGCGTTCCTCACAGAGGAATCCTTGCAGCAGAGCTGGTCCAACAGAGCGGAAAGAAAGAGAGAGCAGTGCTGCTTCTTCTGCCTCCTTTAGGGAAGAACCACTCCCTAAATGCTTGGAAAGTAGATGTGCAAAGCTCACAAGGGCTTTTCAATGTGAGAATAAAACCTGACGTTAAGAAAGAAACTGCAAAAAAGTGTTCAGAAGCTCTGGAAAATACTGAGAAGGCGTATGCATCCAGCATGAATATGAAAGAAATATTCACATTATATCTCTTCACAAACTTTTCCTACTCCCCATCTCAACTAGAAACAATCAGAACGTTCAGAGCTACAGAGGAGACTGCCCAGGAATGAGTGCAGATCACTGGCTTTGCAAAACCTCCCCTTGGACCCTTCTAACCTTAAGACTCAGCCCCGCAAAGGGACAATTTTTCAGCATTTCTGAAGGCCAGTGTGAGTCCAGATAACTCAACTCATGGTTAGAGATGTTCAGCAGCTAGTTGGGGGTCCCATGTGAGCTTTCTCTGGGTCAGGAGCATAATGTGTCCCTGCAGCAGATGTCTGGGATGGCAGGATTAAGGCTGTTATCTAAGGCAGTTGCAATCATGTCATGTAACTGCCACCTAAAACTCTGAGAGCTAAAGACAAGCAACATCTGCAGGATTCTCTGGTTAGTACCTTTTTGATTCCTAGTGGGATATGGGCGCTTGGCCAACAGCATGGAGCTGCATAGTGTCGCTTGCCTAAATCAAATCTGGAATGAATTAAGGACAGACACAAAGAATGGTTCTTACTGTCAATATATCATTGTGATGTGTCACAGTCTTAGATGGCTGTTGTGTTGTTTCTGTGTTTAATTGTACTGTTTCAAAGAAAGCTCAGGTTCTGAGGCTGGAAGTGACTGTGCGGCTGCATCTAAAGTGGGATGATCTTTCCAGGTATAGCCTGAATAGTAGCTAAAGCCAGACTGAAGAGCTTAATTTCTAATGAGATGTGGAGGCACCATGTTGAGAGATGGTGATCACCACATTGGACTGTATGAGAACAGGGATTCACGAAACCCCCAAATAACTGCCAGGAGATCTGCACAACCATTACAGAAACGTGTCATTCAGTTTGAAATGTCACTATTTCCTGCCATCATATGTAATGATGGTGAATGCTGGAAAGGTTTGCAATACTTGTCTCTTATTCCTGACATTTTTTGACTTTGAGGCATTGACTCAGCCCTTCCATTGCTACACTTTTTTCTTAGCTGGGCCCTACTGCCATCTAGCTGGGAAATGGATCTTCCTCTGGGGGCCCGATCCAGTTTCCAATGACATCAGCAAAAATCTGCCCATTTGCTTTAACAGAAGCTGGATTGGGTCCTTGCATCTAGCTTTATTTTGTATAAGGGAGAAAAGGAACATGATGACTGCATTTTATTCTCAGGATTACTGTGTTTATTTGGATCAAAAACTTACAGATGTGAACCTCACCAGAACCAATACTGAGAAAATTACTAGCAAAACCTCAAAATGCAGCATCTGTCTCAGGAGGGCTCTCTCTTCTCAGCATGTATCACAGAGAACTCTCATGTTCTCTTGCACTGCACAGCATTGGGATTACAGCACACGCAGCACACTGAGCCACCTGTCCTAAGAGGTCTTTCCATGCAACAAGCAACACAACACACTGAAGTCAGAGCTGAACCCAACAAACTGGTCAGTCAGTATTCTTTAAAAAGTTCACCTCCTGGCCCTCAGTTTTAGAACAAATCAAATTTTAAAAGACAGATTTAAGGAAAAGTGTTTGAAAGTTACCATAAGAGCACCAAGACCTTACCCACTCCTCCTGACTCAGTCTATTTAGATCTGAGGCTCAAGCTTTTGATTAATTTCAGGATCTTTGCCCTGAATACTTCACAGCAAGTAGGATGAAAAAGGAGAGAGCTTAATACTATTTCATTACAGCCTTAGTGAAAGGCTTAGAAACAACCTTAGGATCACAGTACTCAGAAGACCTCCTGTTCTCCTTTCAGACTGTTGCAAGCATGACAGTTCTGCTGTGGTAGATGCTACTTATTGAAAACTGGGCCCTTGTGATCACCAGCTAATGTAGCTTGTGGCACATCACAGGGCAGGAACTTGTTTGCAGGGGGAATGAAAGACAACTCCCACATTGCTGGTGCTTCTCCAAGATGGCATTTAGTTTGAAATCAAGTGAGTCGGGGAAACCATGTTTACCCACAGTTCAAAGTCCGGGCACCTGCTGGCACCTGGGGAATTCAGTTCCAGCCGTTTCCAGCAGTGAATGAACTTGGGATCAGCTCCAGCAATGGAGACGGCTCTCTGCCTGCTGAGCAGATGTCTGGAGACGCAGCCTGTCATGAAAGGCCTCGGAAGAAGAGCATTCCAAGCCAGCAGGGCAGTGGCGGGGAACTGGTCTCTGTTGCTAAAACTGATCTAGCCCCTGGAGCAGCTGCAAACCTTGGCCTGAAATTGGAGCCTGTACATGGGGACAAAGAATATAAAAGGGAGGATGAGCTTCTCCCCTCCCCCTACCTTCATCACGTTTCCTCTTCTCGCCATTCGACCGAGGAATCCCCAGGATCCCGTTAATGGAGTAAGAGCCCACTGGATCATTGGAGGCACTGGAGACAGGAGGGGATGCTGTGCTGGGCACTGGATGAAAGGAAAAGGGAAAAAGGGCCATCAGGAGAGCAGCACAGCACTCAGGGATCCCCAGCTGAAAGCTATGCTTGCCACCAGTCTAATAGGAAAGCCTGGGCACTAAGCAGACTCCTGATCCCTCATGCTGAAGGACTTCCTCTACTGCATCCTAGCAAAGCTGCATCCCAGCTTTGCTTGTTCACTTCTGTACTGCAGCTTCATGGCCTTCCAATAGAGGACCATTGATAACAAGTAAATGTATTCCATCAAGAAGCTAAATGTTGTTACATCCCAGTTCAGAGCAGGCTTTCAATTGAATGAAATGCTGCATAGGCCACATTCTCTAGTGACTTCATAGTCCATCCATATATTACCAGATCATTTCCTCTCAGTATTTTTTCATCAGGAGTGCACATGCTCTGTCTTAGGCAGACTAGCCTCTTACATGCCCACCTGAAACACTTAGTGAAAAAAATACCTTCTTAACATAGGTTAGAAGCACTTCACTGCTGGCCTATTAAATTCAGTTCCCTACTGCAATGACTGGGTGATACATGCTACCACCCAGATTAATGAAAACCTAGTGCCTTCCTTTTGTACTGACCAATATCAATAGGCAGAATGCTCTGGCCATTTGGCTGTCCAAGATTGCTCATGAATTTCCAATAGATCAAAAGTGACAAGTAATCCAAATTAGAAATGATCCCTTCATGATAATCAGGCCTTTAGAATATAGACCTGTGCATCCAGCAGGCATACCTATTGTGTCCCAGTGTATCCCAGTTCTCTTACAGCCCACTATTCATCATTCAGCTCATAAAGCACTGACCTGAAGCAATCAATACATCCAACAGAAGCCTTTCAGGATGGAGCAGAACCTTTCAACACTCTCCAATGTAGACCCACTTCCTAGAACATCCCAGAGCAATGAGAGACTCCACTAGAAGCACTCACAGTCACTATCCCAGCTCAGCCATTGCATTCCCTAGACATTGCACTACTGTTCCAAGAAGGAATCTGCCAGCTCCATCTGTTGTGATCAGTGATTGCCAGTCCAATGAGCAAGTCCATAATAAAAGGGCATCCAGAAATGTTCTTCCATATTTGCTCATTGTAATTCTGGATACAGTTTATGTACTGGACATCTACCAGCTCTGTCCCATGCAGAGGAGGATTTTCTGGTAAATCCTTGTGTAGCAGCAGATTCTCAATAACCAACTTATGTTGGTCTAAGAAAGTCTTAGGCCATAATAAACCACCGTTTTTCACAATATCCCAGCATACTGCATGTTTTTCCTGCACTAGTTTGTCACTAGATAAAGCTATGCTGGCAAGAGCAGACATATCCACCCCACGGCCCACAGATTAGAAAGTATCTCATCACATATCTAACACAGTACCTCTAAACAGACTAGGAGGCATTTGGTTACTGTATTACAGCCTCCACCTTCTGTTCATCTCAACAAACCAACAAAATATCTCCCGCAGCAAAAGAAATATGCACTTTCTCAGTGAAATATACCCATGGGATACCTGACTGCAGAGCTAGAACAATGGAGAACTTAGTTGTGAGGCAACTGGAATATCTTACCCATGTTTGTGTATTACTGCCATTTAAAAATGAACCATTTCCATCAAAGGGAGAGGAGAAAAGAAAAATTGGTAGGGAGGAAAAAGAGATTCAAGGCAAGGACATGGTAAAAGGTGAAGACTGATGGTTAGACAGGACAGCAGTAAATACTTCTCTATAAGGAGATGAAGGAGAGAGCATGAACATGAAATGGACGTTAAGGCAGAATCACTTAGGCAAACCCCTGCTTTGGGTTAGTTTCGCTGTGATTCACTTCTCTGCAATGCAACAGGGGAGACAAATAATAGAAAACTCTGATTTTCATGGAGGCTTCTTTCCCTCCACCCCTCCTCCCTTTTGCTCTGCTTAGCATCTGCTTGTCAGACTTTGTTCCCTCAACTAAGCTTCATCCCTGTTTCCACTTGACCTGTCACCACCCCTCATGCCAGTCTACTTACCAATAGTATGTCCTGGTGCAGTCACACCTGCCCCACTCCCATCTGGTGTTGGGTGAAAAGGTTGCTGAACTTTGGTTCTGATGATCCTGGAAAAGAGAGAAACACATTCAGAACTCAAATGCATCTTCTCCGTGCCTTTGCAGACCCACAGATATCAGAACCTGAAGGCTCAATCTGAGCCCTCAGTGCAGCAGAGTGGCTTCATTTGCCTTGTGATCCTGATTCTACTGCTTTAATAGTCCAACTTTCAGAGAATCGTCCTATTCCTGCTCTGTCATCTTTATCCCAGACTTGGGTGTTCACTGCATAAGGATGGTGTTCAGTGAGCAAGCTAGGATCTTCTGGATGTTAACAGCTGCATTATCATCTATGGTCTGATCTGTGAGCATAATCACAGTGCAGTCTTCACAGCTAATACAGACATGGCTGAATTTACAAATGGAGTAGCTTTAATTTCATTGTCTGCCTGAAAAATACCCTTCTAACTGACTAAATGCTTTGTCCTGTGGAAGGTTTGCCCAAAGCCCTTGCCCTTCATAAATGAGGGGAAATCAGAAGGCATCTGTAGGGATTGGTGATGGGATATAGAACACCAGGAAAAAAGTGTCCATCAAACAGGGCAAAAATTGGTGTTTGTCAGGTGGTGAATGAACACAGCATGGGAACTCAAAAAGACATCACAAAGCTTATAATGTAGCTCAGAATGACAACAAACTGAACTGTAATTGTCAGTGCTCTGTTTCTTGTTACATGAAATCTTTCACCTCTAGGTCACTGGTTTAAATCCAGCTGAGGTCAGTGGTGAAAGAAAATCACTAGTACCTAGTACCTGGCTGGCAAGGTCCCTGACTACTGGCAGATATTGGGTATCTGTGGGTTGGGAAGAGCTGTTCCACCAAGGAACTCAGTAAATAAGCCATGATCTGTGAAGGCCTTGGAAACCAACTTCCTTTCTGAGATTAGAAAAAGCCTCTCCTCTCTTCAGCCACTCCATCTGGGGTGTAGCCTGCAGATTCTCTTTAGCCTGAACTTCTGGAACTCTTAGCCCTGCATTACATTAGCTTTATTTTCTACCCAAAAATCTCTCCAGATGGTGAAAGCAAGTAGAAGATTCTTCCTGCCCACTTGAGAGCTTCCCTTAAAAATCTGTTCTAAAGATAAGTTGGCAAAACTTTAAAGAGTAAATGTGTGGCTAGTGGGTGATATGGCATGGATAGAGATAGGCAGAGACATTGTGGGGGCAATTTTTAAAAACCAACTTCTAATTTTTAAAAACTACTTCTGAGAATGAAGCCTTCTTAGGAAAAGAAAGAGAACATCTCACCTCAGCATGTCAGAAAACTCTGCTACAAGTTTGATGAAGCCTGACCAGTAGCTGGAGTGCCTGGGACATAGCTGGAGACAGAGAATGTCATGGTTCTAGCTGAGGATGGAGATCCAGATCCTCACTTCATATAGATCAGTGGTACCAGATGCCCTAATCTATAGTTGCTGAGAACCTATACAAAAAGTGTCTGAAGGCCTCAGGGCCAGATTCTGAGGTTATACGATTAGTACTAGGTGAAGAGCTGATCTGAAAAGTGTACTACGGCAAATAATAAAACTTTTTTTCTTCTTTTTTTTTTTTCTTTTTTTCCCCTCTTGTCTCACATTCCCCCTAAAACCCCCTGAAGTGCCACTCTGGTTGTGTGAGTTTATTGATTTCCCCCAGCCCAGAGAAACAGAAAAAGGGGATGGGGTGCAGGCAAAGGGATGGAAATAGAAAGCTATAAATTATTTGTGACAGGAAAGCAATAGTGCCAGAGTGCTGAGCACAAGTCCCGTGTCACTATTAGATTCCTTTTAGCCTGATGACACTGTAAAAGAGGTTAAGTGTCTGATGGAATCGTACACCTTGGGGGCAGGGGCAGTCCAGGAGCAGAACAAGCCACAGAGAGCGGGTATATCAATTCTCCACGCCAATAATATTCCCCTCATTGATCGCAACACAAAGTTCAAAAATCTCATTATAGCTAGGCAGTCCTGGAACTTTTTTAAAATCAATAGAGTGATATAATATATGTATACTTTGTATAAATGTTTCTATCCATCCATCTATCCATCTATCCAAAATCTGCCTGAGGGTGTCTAAGTTAACCTACACATTATACTGTGTTATGTTCTATTGTAGTGTAGCATGGTGAATGGATTAGAAGATTTCCCCTGCAGCCTTAGATGACATATTATAAAATGTCCTGTTAGCACTGAGATGACATCAGATGGTTCCATTCATACTGAGATATGACATCAGATTTACTATTTATACTGGGAGATGGCACCAGGCAGCTCAGCTTCTACTGAGGGGAACCATAAGATGAGTCTAATTATACTGAGATGGCAGATCAGGCTGTGCTGAATCATGCTGCATGAAAATTGCAAAGTTTCAAAAACCCATTTAGAGTAAAACCAGCCTGTGAAACACTGCAGGTATAAAATGCCTGTCCATAATATTCCAAAACCCAGGCAGGGGATGAAGAGGAAGGTTGAATTTCCTTTCCCACTCAGTTCGAGGTCTCTTGGCTGAGAACACCAGTTAGTGCCAGTTGTGACTGTGTTTACTGAGATGTGTCCATTAGGAACTGGAATGAGACTGACCAGCTCATTGCACCAAGTAGCTGTCAGCTGGTAATGATTTTCGGTCACTACCAAGCAGGGCCAGATTTCTGCTAGTGACCCAGAGGTGAAAGGCTCTGTTCAGAAACATTCCCTTCCTAAGAAACTGGTCTTATGTCAAAAGAAAGTGTCCGGAAACTGTGAGCAGAGGAGAGCAGTTCTGGCTGTGCTGCCTCCAGTGGCTTGGGTCAAATAATTTTTGGGATCAAATGCACAGTGAACCTAATGAGGTATCTGGTAGAACATATTTTCTATGGCTAAAAGAAGAGGCAGCTCTTGAAAAGACTCTCCCCAGCAGCGTTCCTTCACCCTGAAGTCATGACTTGACTCCAGTGTTTTATGGAAAGAGGGGAAATTTCAGGACTCTAATGCTCAGTGCAGAGCACGGCAGTGCATCCCCCTGGGTTGATCCACTTAGGGACAGCGAAACACAGCAGAATAGCTAGGCAGCACTGCTGCTGCTTTGAGAGGCTTCAAGTGAGTCTGTCCTACAAAAGACCACCTAATGAAACAGCAGATGAGAGATGAACAGAGCTGACCTGGCCCTGTAGTAACAAATGCAGCATAATAATGCTGTCTTTAAACTTCAGTGTTGCTGAAAGCTTCTCACCCTTACCAGGGATTGAAATACGCACTAAGCCAGCTCTGCTGCCTCAAATCTAGGATTTCTGGATTACTGCTGTATAAGAGGTCACAAAATCTCCATCACCTCTTGCTGTCTTTGATAGGTTGTTCTTGCCTTCAGACACTGGAGAAAGACAAGTCTTGCAGATTACATCCTTAGCCCTTCCCAAAAGCCGAAGGGACACAAGTCCTGGCACACCAGTTAGCAGTGCTGATTTCTTGAGATAAATGCCAATATTTTCAAACATCTTTTTCCAAGAGAAATTGACCCTTTGGACTAAATTCATCCGTGCTCTAATTCCATCACAATCAGTGACTCCAATAACAGCATTTGTATTTAATTAGGAACACAAACTCGTACTTACTATAAATTCCCATTTTTCATTTTCCAGTGGGAGATTTTTGTAGAAGTAGACTACTTTGAGTTTTGGATAATATAAACAGATTTAATGCATAACCTTCTGAAGTTTCAGCAACAGGACATTTATAGATCTTTGATTGCAGTAAAGCAACTGAACTTCATTTCACAATCTGAATTTAATATGCAATATTATGTTAAGTGATGGCATATAATGTCATTACAGTAAATAGTATCATATTGTGAATTATACATCCATCCTGGAATTCATGAGTTGCTATAGTTGGCTCGTAGTAACTCCTTCTAGACTTAATATTACATACAGCACCAGCTGAAAACAATTGCTTATTTCTAAATGCCTTTGACTTTCTTAAATGTTCAACATTAGGTCATCAATTTCCAATGTTTGATTTCTATTTCATTATTTTTGTCAGTTTTAATGGAATTCCTTTTCCTGATTCTGAATACGGATGGACAGACAAAACCTTCTCTTCTAGTATTACAATTGTAACAAGCTCTAATCAAGAGATGTAACAAGAAATATTAGAAGTTAAAATTAGCTGAGCCAGAGTGCTTTCTGAGAAGAACTTTCACTCCTTGTAAATAAGCTAGAAGAAAATCACTTCTAAACTTGTCCAGAAATTATTTGGTAAAAGAACGTAGAAAAGATCGCAGAAAACTCACCTTGCTTCTCTGACATTTCTGTCCATACTCTCTTAAAGCCTAACATACTCTGTAGTTTCTTTCTCTTACTATGGCTGGCAGAGTGTTTTGACAGTATCTCAAATTAAAAAATCATACTAGGGCTGATCAGAGTGAGATAAAGTGGGACTGAATAATCTGGAGTCACAATCTAGCAATTCTCTTAATCCTGGAAGAATAGAGTGAAGTTGAACTGAAGGAAAGATTGGTGTGTCCTGCTGCCTCAAGACGACCCTGACAGATTTCAGAAAGCATTGATGTCCTCACTTTGATCAGATTCCATTGTCATGGATTATTTTTGAAGGTGGAAGGATACACTCAGCAGAGCACCAAACTCCTTGTAATTGTTTTGGAGTATTCATATTTTAAATGCTCCATATTAGAAGCACATTACAAGACCCCAGGGTGTGCATTACTGGGCAATTAAAGCGGTTCTTGGAAGGCTAACATTGCGAAGCTTCAGCCTTTTCTCTGCGCTGTGTCCAGGGGCGGCTGTGATGGCCAAGGCACACACACCCTGCTGTGCCGCGCTGCTTAATTAGTGCTGGGCTGAGCTGCTGGGCCCTGCCTGTGCCTGGGCTGTGCCGCTGGGCCCCGTCCGTGCCGCTGGGCCCGGGCTGTGCCACTGGGCCCGGGCCGTGCCTGGGCTGTGCCGCTGGGCCCTGGCTGTGCCGCTGGGCCCGGGCCGTGCCTGGGCTGTGCTGCTGGGCCCCGTCCGTGCCGCTGGGCCCGGGCTGTGCCACTGGGCCC